CCCCCCCCCCCCCCCCCCCCCCCCGCTAACGGTGGAGCAATTCTTGTAAAATGCCTGTAATCTTATGAGAAGTGGTACAGGTAAGATGAGGCTACGTTTACACTGCATCCGATAGCTTTCCATAGGCATAGCGACGCGAAAACATCTATCGGTATTTTTTAGGAACGCTATTTTTAGATGTTGTTTCGCTCAGCTTTTGAAAGTTGTACATTTTGTATCGGATAGGTGCCTTTTCGGCCCGCTAGGGAAAGCTATCCGCGGTATAGTGTAAACGTCGCCATAGTCTAGATTATTTCACTAGTACCCTAACTTATAAAGCATTTTTAAGGAAACTAGAGCATCTACGAGCTTAACATAATTTAATTAAGACGAATATTAGAGATATCGAGTATAATAGACAATAATACTAATTGCTGCATTGTGCATGTATATATTAAAGTTATTTATCAGTAAATGTAAAGTAACTGTCAAAATTGACCAATATTGTAATAATGATATACATGTATATTTTAAATAGTGTCCTCAAATGTAAATAAGCTAAATATATATGCAGATAAATAAACAATAAAATATTAAAAACCTTCAATAGTTTGAATAAACTGCTGAATAAGATGCTCCTTCTTCTCGTTCAGCTTGGCGGTGATCGTATCAACAGATGTCTTGAGCTTCTCTTTCTTTTCTCGACAAGAATGTTGGACTTGTTTCACATGCGCGATGTGTTTCTCTGCCTTGCCCATTGCTTCAAGAGATCTCTCTCGACACTGTTCAGCCACATCTTTCAGGTTGGCAACGGAATGCGTGGCTAGGGGATGGTCAACTACCGTACAATCACGACATATCAATACGTTACAAGTACGACAGTAAAACCTGCAAGCAAGATCATGGTCGGCACATTTCATGGCGGGATGAAACTCTTTGGAAGTTGTTGGGGAGAGAAGATTCTTTAGATCAACGACCTTATGCTCTTGATACGTTTTCAGACGATTGTGTGCGTCAAGACACTTCTGACAAAAGAATTCATCACATTCGATACACCGCACCATCGCCTTTAAACCGTCTTCACAATTGGAACACAGCAAACTTTCATTCTTCGATTTCAATTCAGCGACTTCCAACAAATTCTTAATAAAGAAATTCGTTGGTAATCCTTCGATACCCGATTCTGGTATGGCGGTTTCGTCACGACATAATGGACACACGATTGAATCATATTTATTCGTTGTCTTTGTCATTTCGTTTAGACATTCCTTGCAAAATGAGTGAAGACATGTTAATGTCTTAGGTTCTCTGAAAAGCTCCAAGCAAAGAGAGCAAGTCAGAAGTTCCTCTATCGTGGCAGGAGTTAGACCTTCGGCCATCTTGGCCACAGTATCCACACTGAACAAAAATATCAACAAAGCCTTTTTTAAATAACCACCCCTTCCGTTTAAAACACTTCTTCTGCATGACTGAATAACACATTAAATATATTAATTAGTTGCTGCAAAAAAAACATGTTGTCACTGACTTTCTTGTGTATTATTTACTTTGTTGTTAATGCAGTAGCAAACAGACAATACATTTCTTAAATACACAAAATGCAACATGTAAAATCATCGCTCGTGAATCCGTGCACATTTTATGTTGATGCGTCGCCTCTTATTGTCTTCTCAGTAAAGATTAAGTGTAATTATCGAATTCGTAGTAATAAATAAAGAATGCAACTACCCACGCGGGAAGTTATATTGTTATAACTTCCCATACGAATGTTGAGAAGTATGAAGACAAATGAATAATATTCGGACAATTATGACGATAAATTAAAGACCTCTACAGAAGTTCTATTCACTACCTTCTTTTCTCGTCTAGATATAGCGGTTAAAATACTTATTGGATCGACGAGGTAATCTGACGGGGTAAACTGACAAGCCTGAGCCGACTGTGCCAATTCAGTGAATTACACCATCAAATCCCACAAACACAAAAGCGTGTTGGCTTCTTTTCACTATTTAGTAGGCTACATCATATTAGATACATTCTTTTCTCAGGAAAATTGGGAGCAGGCGCTCAGTTTTTCAGTAATGAGTTACTTCTGTGAAATATCGTACATACAATCATAAATAGCTGAAGAAGCTAAAGGTTTCAACCACAGTTCTACACGTTTTGGTTTGCAGTTGCCATGACACTTTTAATAAATAAAGAGCACATTTTGCGTCACGAGAATAATTAAGATTACAGGACACTCTTTTTGGCGTTTTGCGGAAAATCGCTACTGCGCGTTCAATATCAGTCCGATTTTCATCAAATTTTCGCCAAATGTTCGCCAGTGCATGTAAAGTATATGATAACGTTGTAAAATTGACAAACAATAAAATAATGTAAGAATTAGTTTAAAGATAAAGAGCAGAGCCCAGCAAATAACTTTAAATGGCCAAACATAATAAAAGTAAAAAATTTATTAGCTAACGTTTCGTTGTTTACAATACAACATCTTCAGAGCAATCTAAATGAATTTACAGGGTATGGTATATATATTTACAAAATAATGGTTTAATATTACAAAAACGGTTACATAGTTTGAAAGAACAAATGAATAGAAATAAAGGAAAACAACTTATCAGTAACTAGTTAATAAGTAAAGATCAATGTATGGTTAGTATAGTTAAGGTTAATATTACATAACTAAAATAACTCAAGAGGGGTAGATATAATATTAGCAGAAGATCCCACTCAGAAGTGGCTGATGATAGGATTTTGAAATCAGAAGCGGAGACTGGGTGTTTGTGCATGTATACTTGTGAGCGAGTATACTGGACATGGTTGAGATAGAGCGTTCTTTTTGGTTTTTTACTCCCATATGTTTTCCGCCTGGTGTATCAATTGCCACAATGTAAAAATTATTCAGTAAAATCTTAAATCGCGGTACCTTTACGCTTTGAGTTGTTTTCCTGCCGGTTTTAAGATATAGTTATGAAAATATCATTTTTATACAGTAAAGTAGTTGTTTGAAATCGTTTTTAATGTCTCATACTGTATATACATCAACCTTTCTCTACTATGTCTAACCAAAAAGTATCTCGCACAAATTAAAACAACAATATGTAAATCCGTGTCGTCGTTCAGCCAAGTGTGTCTGATCGCGTGACCTAACATACTTGCATCTCGGAAGTAATAAACGGGAAGTTCATATCGTAACATCTCCCCTTCTTTAAATAACTGTAGTGTCAACCACTATTATGAAAATATTAAATAGCTAACTTAAAATGTTCTACGTAACTAATAAAGTGTGTGTCAAGTTTGGTTCAATCTTCAGACGTAATCTTTATATCTAGCCAGTACTTTGATTATCCTCGAACTTCTCCTTTGGTTTACGCTACATTCTGGTGTGGCCGTTATGGATCTTGAACTTCTTCTCTGCGATCCGTTAGGTTCGGGCTCTACTGGTACCGTTGACTCGTGTTGACCACTTTCAGCGTCCAGGCTCACTTCTGTTTCTGGATTATTTGCACTGTTCCTTTCCTCTACTCTGTTTCTGATCTCTTCTCTGTTTCTGCGTACTTTTTCTCCATTCGTTTGTACCATGTAAGATCTATCAGATAACTTTTCAAGGCACTTCCCCAACTCCCAGGTTTTATCTATCTGACCCCGAACTCTGACTTCTTGACCAACGTCTAGGTCTGGCAGCAACTTTCCGTTTCTGTCGAAGTTGCTCTTTGCTTTTTGTCTTTTTCTTTGCAGTCTTTCTTTGATACCTTTGCTTATTTCAGGATACAAAAAGCGGGTTGCCACTGGCAGGAGGGTTCTTGTTCTGCGGGACATCAAACGCTGACATGGGCTGGTCTGGACTCCCTCAGTTGGAGTGTTTCTGTAGTCCAGCAGGGCTAATCATGGGTCTTTGGCATCCTTGGGTGCTTTATTGAAGAGGTTCTTGGCTATTTTCACCCCGACTCCGATTTTCCGTTTGATCTGGCATGGTAAGGTGAGGATGTGACGTGTTTAATTTCCCATTCTGTGATGAAATATGTGAACTCTCGGCTGGTATACTGGGGACCATTATCTGACACCAGCTCTCTTGCCTTGCGCAGGCAAGCTTCGATATCGAGATGACTTGAATGGATCCTTGAAGTGATCTCTGTGCGCATGGCCTTGGGAATTATGATACGTTGGCTTTTGAACAAGACTCCATTGTGCAGCGTCAGCTCTTCGCGATATGTCCAGAATTCCCTGATATGTATTGGTACTTCTTCTCTTTCCGTTGGCCATCCCATCAGTATGGTTGCCTTGAGGGTTTGCAAGACCGGGTCCTGTTCGATTGCTTTCTGTAGCTGGCCCAGTCTCTCGCTGCTGATCTTAATAGTATTCAGGGGACCTATACCTTCGAGCTCTACAGCGAAAACCTGAAAGTCCTCATCTGGTGTGCCGGTATCTTTCACCGAGGCTCTCGATAAATGGTCTGCGATATACATCTGCGGCCCTGGTTTGTACAATACTTCGAGGTTGTACCTCTGTAATCTCAGCATCATTCTCTGCAACCGACAGGGTGCTTCCAATAGTGACTTCTTGAAGATGGATTGAAGATATTTGTGATCGGACTCTATTGTGACTTTATCTCTTCTCGATATGTATTGAGAGAACTTCTGGCAGCCGAAAACAATGGCTAGACACTCTATCTGTGCGTATCGTCTTTCTATCTGTGTCAATGTCCGCGAGGCAAATGCCACCGGTTGGCCATTCTGAAGAAGCGATGCTCCAAGTCCTTTCTCACTTGCATCACACTGAATCGCAACTTCTTCACTTACGTCGTAGTATTTCAGCTGATATGGGATGTTTGCTCACCAGGTTCTTCACTTGAGCAAAGGCTTTGTCATGTTGGGATGACCACAAAAGGCTGTGCAACTTCGGCTAGCCTAGGTAAGAATTTGGTCAAATAGTTGATAAAGCCAAGAAGGCTCAGCATTTCTTGTTTCCCTGTGGGCTTCGGCATATGTTGTACCGCTGCTATTTTTTCTCTGGATCAGGTTTAAGACCGTCTCTGCAGATAAGGTGCCCCATGAACTTGACCTCTGTCCTCCGTAAGTTCATTTTCTTGCTGTTCAACCAAGGGAGCACAGCAGAATTCTTTTCGAGACTTGCGTACCTGTATATGGCTGTAAAATCTGTGAATAGGTAGTCTTTGTCTTCTTTGGTTTGCTAATTTGCATATAAACACTGTTTCTAAATACGTAAACAAGCCATATTTAACTTTCGTAATATTTTCGTAAAAATATTGTCGCCCTTCGACACGCCTGCTTTGCAGGCTATTTTCACATGGTCGTCCGCTGTACATTGTGTCGCATGTAATGGTTTTGTAAATACGCGCGAAACTTACAATAAAAAATAGAGGGGAGTGAAACTGTGGGCACCGCACAGGCCACTGCTAGATATAATTATGGAATTATACAATCTTGGCTTCAGTTCACATGTTTTTAACGCGAGTTGATCCATAGTTAATCCAAACTGTGGTTGATCGTATAGTATGCCATATATTTGTCTTTTTAAAATCATATTTCAGTACATTAATATACTAAACAATGGGGTCAAATTTCGACATTTCGACATGATTTTGTTATATTTTGTTTTACTTTATAACATTAAAGCCATTTTCAAATATTCTAATGTGAAATTATCCAAGTAAAACCAGCATACAATATACTAAAACAGAAATATTTGTGTTTAATATAACTAATATACGTTATACAGAAAAATCACAATTCACAACTAACAACATTAATATAAATAATGACAAAATTTATATTATTACCACTCTCGAACATGCCATGGGAAATACTCTCGAAGTAGAAGCACGATATAATACATTTAAAAAGGAATCAGAGTTGAAACGTTTACGAATTGTGAACAAATCAGTTTTTGGTAGACTTTTACAGTCGACTCAAATCTGATTGTAAGCGTTTGGTTTTGCTACAAACCTTGGAGAAAGCGGTTCTCAAATCCCGAAATGCTATTGGTTAATATTGATCACGTGCCCACAGTTTCACTCCCCTCTATTTCTTATTGTAAGTTTCGCGCGTAATTACAAAACCGTTACATGCGATACAATGTGCAGCGGACGACCATGTGAAAATAGCCTGCAAAGCAGGCGCGTCGAAGGGCGACAATATTTATACGAAAATGTTACGAAAGTTCAATATGGCTTGTTTACGTATTTAAAAACAGTGTTTTAGTGTTTATATGCAAATTAGCTAACCAAAGAAGACAAAGACTACCTATTCACAGATTTTACAGCCATATACAGGTACGCAAGTCGCGAAAAGAATACTGCTGTGCTCCCTTGTATGTATTAGTAAATTAGTCTTAAAATTGTAACAGTTAGCCAGCACACCTCTCAGACATGGAAATCAGCGTAATGTTGAATGAGATTAGTGTGCCTAAATAAAGTTGATCTATCTATCAGACCAGTTACTCTGCTGTTATTCAAGCATGCCAAATTGCCAATCACGTCAATCCCAGCACGGGACCAATGAAATAATTAAGATATCAATAAAGATTGAAACCAAAACTTTTTAGACGTTCCACTATCAAAGTTTCTGTGATCACAGTGTAGGATTTTGCATATTAGGTAAATTATACGTTTTGAAGTAATATATGAACAACGAGAGCGAGTGTTTCACCGGGATATCCAAACACGAGAAAAAAATGTATGAGAACACGAGCGCGAAGCGCGAGTGTTTTCATACATTGTTTTCGAGTGTTTGGATATCCCGGTGAGACACGAGCTCGAGTTGTTTA